TCTGATGATTAGTGATATTGAGCAACTTTCCATATGTCTATTGGTCATCTTTATGTCCTCTTTGGAGAAATGTGTATTCAGGTTCTCTGCCCATTTTTTAATTGGATTGTTTGGGGGTTTTGGTATTAAGTTGTATGAGTTCTTTATAATTTTTATATATTAACTCCTTACTGGACGTATCATTGATATCTTCTCTCATTTAGTTTTGTCTTTTTGTTGGTGGTTTCCTTTGCAGTGCAAAAACTTTAGTTTGATGTAGTCCCATCTCTTTAGTTTTTCTTTTGTTTTCCTTGCCTGAGGAGACATATACAAAAAAAAAAAGAAAAGAAAAGAAAATTACTAAGCAATATCAAAGAGTTTACTGCCTATATTTTCTTCTACGAGTTTTATGGTTTCAGGTCTTACAGTTAAGCCTTTAATCTATTTTGTGTTTATTCTTGTGTATGGTGTAGGATAGTGGTCAAGTTTTATTTTTTTGCATGTATCTGTCCAGTTTTCCCAGCCCCAGTTATTGAAGAGACTATCTTTACCCCATTGTAAATTGTTGCCTCCTTTCTCATATTAATTGACTATACATGTGTGGATTTATTTTTGTTCTCTCTGTTCTGTTACATTGATCTTTGTGTCTGCTTTTAAGCTAGTACCATGATATTTTCATTACTATATCCATGTAATATAATTTGATATCAGGTAGCTTTGTTCTTCTTTCTCAAGATTGTTGTGGCTCTTTGGGGTCATTTGTGGTTCTATATAAATTTTAGGATTATTTTTTCTAGTTTCTTGAAAAATATCATTGGTACTTTGATAGGGATTGTATTGAATCTATATTGCTCTGGATAGTATGGAGTTGTGTTCCATTGCAAGACCACACACAAGTTTGATCGCCCGTCAAAAATCACTGGAACTTGGATGGGATGTGTTGCCACACCCACTATACTTGCCTGACCTTGTGCCGTTGGACTTCCACTTGTCTCGTTCTCTTCAAAACTCCTTGAGTGGTATAACATTCAATTCAGATGAGGCTGTAAATCAGCACCTTGTTCAGTTTTTCACAAATAAAGACGGATCCTTCTAAGAACGAAGAATTATGAAGCTCACTGAACGATGGCAAAAGGTTATTGAACAAAATGGGCAATACATCATTGATCTTTGTTCTTTATATAAATGAATGACCTTTGAAAAACATAC